CTAAAATGGGGAACAACCTAAGTTTTTGGACTAACTTTTGAGAGTTTTTTGACCAAATTTGGATCGGCCTAAGTTAGTGGACTAAAATGAGAAACAACCTAAATTACTGGACTAAAATTGCAATTTTCTCAAAATAATTTTGTTCCAAAAAAAAAAAGAAAGAAAGAACAAGAGCAATTACTCAAATATATGTGTTTGATAAACCAATAAGCTAGCTCTTATAGCTTATTTGATTAACTTATAAGTTTCCTGTATTTAAATAAGCTCCGTTTGGTAGGACGAGCTTATTTAAAAGACTCGAGCTTATTTGATAAGCTTCTTTTGGTAAATTTTCAAATAAGCTCGTTGAAATTTTTATTTTAGTTATCTTATCAACTAAAACATTTTATTACATAAGCTAGCTTTTCAGCTATAAGTCATATAAACTATAAGCTCAAAATTTACTAATAAGCTATAAGGTATCTTATCAGCTATCAGCTAGTTTTACCAAACATAATCCTAATAACTTAGATCATTTGAATTTCCACAAATCACATATATAGAAAGACAATGCATCATGTATATTCATTAACATTTATCCAACAATGGAACAATTTGATTCACAAGCTTATTGATGATCAAATTTATATATATATATATATATATATATGTATATATATATATATATATATTTTGTTAGTCAAATTTATACCTATCTTTTATCCTTATTACTTTCACTTATATTTTTTTTAATAATGTAAAATTTTAATTAAAAAATACATATATATATCATAAAAAATTATAATTTGCCTAATCGTTAAATCCGTCTAACAACAACCAAACCGAACCATATTTGAACAGACCATTATATACGAAGTTCTTCATTTAACTTTTTTTTTTTAATTTAATTTGGGAGCTAAAATTTACATTCCTTCTATTTTAGAGCTGACATCCTTACAGATAAAATAATTTGTAATTTTCACCACAGAAGGATTAGTACTATAAGTACCTTTGATAGGGAAAGCATATCATGTAGTTATAATAGTCCATATAATTAAATGACCATTTATTCATTTTATATATATATATATAAAAAAAAAAAAATATGGTGTAGCAAATGTGGGGATGTGATTTCTCAACTTGGCTTAAAAAGTTAATGTAATGTGTTAGTTAATGTACTAACAAAGTGGGCCTTTGTGTGTATGTCTCAATATACAAGACCATGTGATCAAATATCATCTCTAAATTAATAATAACCATCCATCAATACAATATTTTCTTGTCACATATATATTTGTGTCAAATATATATTGTCCAAAATATATAATTTGATTTTCTTGCACATATTAATACTAAAAAAAAAGATTACTATATTAAAGCCATTTTTGACAAAGGAAAATATAATTGGAGATAATTTATAGGACACTTGTATGCATATTTGTCATTTTTTTTATTGTGTGTGTATGTTATTCTTGTTATTATTATTTTGCCTCTTTTCTCTTTATTGTATGTGTCTTCAATTTTTTGCACATATTAATAAAGTGATAAAAGACCATAATAAAAAAAAGTCACATGTATTTTCATTTTTTTTATTTGTGTGTGTATGTGTGTGTGTTATTCTTATTATTATTTTGCCCCTTTTTCTCTTGGTTGTATGTGCCTTCAATTTTGTGTTGTCATTGTTGTAATTATTATTATAATATTTCTCCTGTTTTTTTGGTTTATTTGTGTCAGATACGATGCAAGTTGATTCGTCTTAAACATAGGCAATTAGGCATACATACATGAGTTCGATCAAAACCCAAAAAGGAGGGTATTTATATATCCAGAAATGTTATAGTTTTGTTACGGAATCATTTTGTCAGAATTTATAACCGTTAGATCATTATTTAACCGTCCGGAATAGTTGATTTAGTGGATACAAACCCCGACGGTATGGTTTCGTAACGGGACTATAGCATCTCCCTTATATATATCAACAATCTCTCCAATCTATTATTCCAGCTGAGCCTACGTGGCTGCTTCTGGTGCTTCGAAATTCTATGTGGCAAAATTACATGTTTCGTTATTAGGTTTGAGTAAATTTTAATTTAATTCCAAACAAAAAATAATTAGGTTCGGATTACCATAAATATGTTTATTATTTATGGTCATGTTACATGTATTAATTGCATTTTAATATCATTCCTTATTATAATTATTGAATTGTATATATATATATTTTAAAAGTTAATAACTTTTGTATTTTTTATCAGTTTTACATATGTAATATATCAAATTAATCTTCTTTTGATGAACTTCGATTTAACATTCATATTGTATGTATAAAAAAAATAATTTATATTTATCGTTACAACAATAATAAAATTATTTTTAATATTAATTAGAAAAATAAAATTGTTTATCAACTAATATATTTATATTTCAAGTAGTTATATGATATAAGTTATAAAAATAAATATAATATAACACATGTAAGTCATAAGTAACACATATCATTCTAAAATATATAATAATATATTTTTTTTTTGTAAAAAAGTAAACTAAATTTAATATAGTCTTCTTTCATTAATTTTAAAATTGAAGAATAATTTTATAACAACCACCCGTGTATTACACGGGTATTGTACTAGTAAATATATATATATATATATATATATATATATATACAGATATTTGCTACTCTTATAGTCTTTATCAACACAACTTTCATGATCTAAAAAAAAATATTCCGGATAATTTGAGATTGAGACAATGTGTGGATATACTATTTTATGAACAATGCTACATATCTATATATATATAATTGTTGTCATACAACATTTAATAAAACCTAATTAATAAAATCTCTATTAATTTTCCCGCCCATTTTTTCAATTAATGTAGAACTGTTACATTTTATTTTCACGCTCATTTTTTTCAATTAATGTAGAACCGTTACATTTTACATTAGTAAAGTGTAGTAATAATTTTAAACTAATTTATTCACTACTAACACTAATTGATTACAATTTTACATTAAATAGTATGTGAAAGTTACATACTTATAAAAAATTGTATAACAATTTTTTTTTTTTTGTTTAAAATACTTTCTCTAAATAAATGAAAT